TTCTGGTTCTTGGTCTTTCTGATGTAGGTTGGAACTTACCCCATCAACCTCCTGGTTCTCAGGCCTTCTGACTGGGGCTGAATTGTGCCTGCAACTTTCCTAATTTTCTAGCTTCCAGGCAGCAGACTGTGGGACTTCTCAACCTCCATAATCACATAAACCAGGTCCTAGAACAAATCTCATACCTCTCCCTATGTATGTATCCTTCTGATTCTGTTTCTCTGGAGAACCCTGACTAATGCAAGCCCCATGTGTAGAAAGGAATATACCTTCTACTCTACTTAGCAATTTTTGCATGTTCACTTCAGGTATTAATTGCTCTCTTTAGTCTAATGGGTTTCACTATATTGAGATTGATTGATTTTCATTCCTGTATTCATTCTGTGACTACTAAGTGCCAAACACCATACCAGGTTGTGAATACAAAGATAATTCAAAGATGGATCACAATATATCTCTGACTTGAGTGTGGGCTTACCCTTTCATAATAGGGGTAAGCTCCTTGCCAGCAAAGAGCTTATTATCTAGCCAGGAAAATAAGTTATGAACTTCAGAAAACCATAATATAAGATAGGAAGTGAGATGCCATTAAAGCATACAGATAAAGAGAGAGAGAGAGGAATCAATTCAGTCCCCCAGTCGTATCCAACTTTTTGGGACCCCGTGGACTTCAGCACGCCAGGCTTCCCTGTCCATCACCAACTCCCAGAGTTCACTCAAACTCATGTCCATCGAGTCAGTGATGCCATCCAACCATCTCATCCTCTGTCATCCCCTTCTCCTCCTGCCCTCAATCTTTCCCAGCATCAGGGTCTTTTCAAATGAGTCACCTCTTCACATCAGGTGGCCAAACTATTGGGGTTTCAGCTTCAATACCAGTCCTTCCAATGAATATTTAGGACTGATCTCCTTTAGGATTGACTGGTTGGATCTCCTTGCCTTCCAAGGGGCTCTCAAGAGTCTCCTCCAACACCACAGTTCAAAAGCATCAATTCTTCAGTGCTCAGCTTTCTTTATAGTCCAACTCTCACACACACCCATACACAACTACTGGAAAAACCATAGCTTTGACTAGATGGACCTTTGCTGGCAAAGGAATGTCTCTGCTTTTTAACATGCTGTCTAGGTTGGTCATAGCTTTTCTTCCAAGGAGCAAGCGTCTTTTTAATTTCATGGCTGCAGTCACCATCTGCAGTGATTTGGAGCCCCCAAAATAAAGTCTTTCACTGTTTCCATTGTTTCCCCATCTATTTGCCATGAAGTAATGGGACCAGATGCCATGGTCTTAGTCTTCTGAATGTCGAGTTTTAAGCCAAATTTTTCACTCTCCTCTTTCACTTTCATCAAGAGGCTCTTTATTTCTTATTCACTTTCTGCCATAAAGGTGGTGTTATCTGCATATCTGAGGTTATTGATATTTCTCCCGCAATCTTGATTCCAGTTTGTGCTTCATACAGCTCGGCATTTCATATGATGTACTCTGCATTATAAGTTAAATAAGCAGGGCGACAATATACAGCCTTGATGTACTCCTTTCACAATTTGGAACCAGTGTGTTGTTCCATGTCCGGTTCTGTTGCTTTGACCTGCACACAGATTTCTCAGGAGTCAGGTCAGGTGGTCTGATATTCCCATCTCTTTAAGAATTTTTCAGTTTGTTGTGATCCACACAGTCAACATTCTTAAAGAGATGGGAATACCAGGCCACCTTACTGCTCAACACTCAAAACTTTGTACAGTGAGAGTTTATGCACCAGGCAACTGTTTCCACATGCAGCACAGTAAGATAAAAGGTATAACAAGTGGGATGGATGCAATTAAAGACACATATGGTAAGACAGATTTGGTGTTTCATAAAATCATTTTGGGGAAAGTTGAGCTCATGAGGTTGTGAAAAATGAATCACAGTGAGAACAGGGTCCCACCGGCAGAGGATCACTCTCTGCAGAGTTATTCCACTGTTGTTGTGGGGCTCTGTGACAACAGAGTGTGGATTGATGATGATCCGTTCTTTATTGAGATTTTAGGCTCCCATCTCGTTTCTGCTTATGCCAGCCAGATGGGAAGAGCCTTTATTTGTCATTTCATTTCTCAGTCATTTCTTGATCTCTGAGGCTCTAGTGCATAGATGCTGAAGTAAGTATGCCTGGGAAATGCATCAGTAAACACTAAGAGAGAAGACAGTGAGCAGGAGCTTACGCCACAGGATAATGGAGATGACGTTAAGAAAAGGCAAGATGGATGTTCAATGTCAGGAAAAACACCCTGGCTGTTCAACTTTAAGAATAACTTCCCCAGGGAAGCTCTGAAAATCCCACCACCTGAGGCTTTTGAGACTAGATTGTGTGATATACGGGAGATTATCCTACAGGGAGTCAAATGGACTCTGGTCCAGGCAGTGAACTAAAATAGCTACAAAACCCACAAATGGTCTTTTGTGGTTAAGAGTTAGGAGTCCAGTCAGGTCTTGCTTTATTGAATCCTTTGCTACAACTAGTATGAGTTTCCTCAGGCTGAATGAAGGATTGAAGCATTTTAGAATTGGAGCCTTGGCAGGCATGCATGTCCATGGCTTGTCCAGTTAAGACTGTTCTGTGTGACATTTGTCTTACGTGTTGCACTGATTGGTCATGCAAGCCCTACCTCCTTCCCTCCCTTCCTTTCCTTCTCAGCTGATTAGAATGTGCAGCGATTTTTCCCACATAGTAGACTCTGGCCGTTTATGATTGTAACACTGAAGTTTAAGTCACTTGAGTGTGATCTGGAAGTCCATTCTATACGGCAAGGTACAAAATATTGTGGAAGCATGAATCTGAGTTACCAAACTGCCAGGTAGTGTGGCTCAGAGCCAGTTACTTCGTGACTGGACTCAGCTAGTTGCCCAGTCTCTACTTTTTACAGTAGCCCTTCCCGTTCTATGTTGCTGTGTGTGAGAAAGCTTGGAGACACATCCTTGGTAAATGCTGTGATCTTTAAATGCCTTGTGACTACAAGCCATCACCCAATCTGGCCCAGCCCAATCTTCCTAAACTTTCAGCAGCATAAGAAGACCCAAGGAGCTGTCAGTAGAACCAATTTGGACCTATTCAACACTATTCATTAATCTTTTATTGTGGGCCAGGCCCTGTGTTAGGTATCATAAGAATTACAATGATAAATATGACCCAGGTTTTACCCTCAAAGAAAATACAACCAATAGGAGGGAAAAACCAGCACAAATGACTATAATATAGGGCATTGCCAAATAACCACTCCAGGGTGTTTTTAACACCAACTGTCAATTCTCTGATTCTTCAGACACTAGCTTGGTGTTTAGTGATTCAACTCAATTCTGATATTACTTGGAGTGAGTGCAGACTCCGTAATTCAAGGACTCTCTCCCACAAGTCTGTGCCCTGCTTTAGATGCCAGTCACAAGTCCTGGGCCTCCCATACTCCTGACCTACTAGCTCTAAACTGGGAGTTCCCACAACCTCCTCCTTAGGTTTGGTAATTTGCTAGATGGCTCACAGAAATTAGGAACACACTTATATTTACCAGTTTATTATAAAGGATATTATGAAGGATACAAACGAATACCAGGTGAAGAAGTACGTATGAGGTTTGGAAGGGTCTTGAGCATGGGAGCTTCTGTTCTGTAGGCTTGGGGTGTACCACCCTCCTCGCATGTGGATATACCCACCAACCCAGAAGAGCTCTGAACCCTGTTGTTCAGGGATTTCATCACACATGAACGGTTAAATCATTGGCTTTTGGTGACTGGACTCAGTCTCCAGCCCCTATTCCCTCTCTGCACGTTGAAAGGTGGGGCTGAATGATAGTTCCAAGCTTCTAATCCAGGCCTGGTTTTTCTAGAGACCAGCCCCCATCCAGAAGCTAGCTAGAACCCCTTCCTTCATTGCAATAGCCTACAAAAGACATTCTTATCAACTCTGGGGACCCCAAGGGTTTTAGGAGCACAGGAACTGGGGACAAAGACCAAATATTTATTTTTTATTACATCAAAACTGCCATAAGGAAATTACAAGTAAAGTGTTACATGGCTTCAAAGAAAAGAAAGATACTATCTATTTTTTAAGACCACATATTGTGACATCAGGATATCATGAAATGTGAAAGCACTTTGATTCTGGAGTCGTCCAACCCTGGTTTTGACTTCTGGGGCAGATCTTATAGCCTCTGTTTTACCCTTTCATCACAAAGCTGAACAGTGCCAACTTCCCTGGAAAGAGTGTGAGTTACCTCAGATCTCTTACAGAACAGGGACTTCTTGCCTGCAGTGTTATTTTGTTTGCTTGTCTGTTCAGCTCTCTATAGAACTGTGTTGCCTTTTTTTTTCTTCTTCTTCCAGAAACCACAATCAGATGAGGGAGATTACTGCTTGAAACTTGCAATCCCATTATCTGTCAGCCTGTGAAAGATAAAAAGTGCCACTAGTATATCCAGAAAGTCATTTTTCAGTAGCCATAGGTGACAAGAATTACATTTCTTTACCAGGACATCTTGATGTGGCATATCATAAATATTCAGTTTCTGTAGACTTCTAAAAAAGATATAATATCTCCTTTTTTGTGTGTAACACAACTTCAAGGTCAGAATCAGGATGACTCAAAAATAGGAACTAGGAATTCTTATAGAGGAGAAAAAAGGAGTTGTAAGGGAGTAGGTTGAAGGAGATTGAGGAAGTAGAAACTGAAAAGTGAAGTAGAGGGTGGCGTGTGGGTTTGGAAATTATAGGTACAAGTGTATTATTCTTAGGCCTAGGGAGATGGGCCTCTGATCTGGTCCCATGCCTACAAGGGCCAGGTCTGGCCCTCTTTGAGCTGTACCTTCCCCTTGGGATGAGAAGTCCTGGAGACCCAGGGAGGTGCCCATATGGAGCCCATGCCACCCTGTTTGTACCAGGGACATTGAATTCCCTGCCTAAGAACCAAGAGTTGCATGAGTTTCTTCTCCAGGCCTGTCCTTTTAAGGGTTAATGGTGCCTGCTACCTAAATACCCAAAGAGTGGCCAAGGAGTGGCTGTTTGGCAGGGGTGGTGGGATGTAGAGATTGACTGAGTGAACTGGGACACCCATCTGCACATGGAAAAGGTCCTTCATGATCTGGGCAGAACCAGAGGAGGAACGAGAGAAAGGAGTGAGCTCTGGGCCAGGTGCCTCCATTCATATTGTTACCCTCGGTCTGCAAATGTTAGAGGCAGACCTGCACTGGAGTCCAGTTATGTTATAAACAACTTTCCAAGCAAAAACACTGCACTCGCAAATAGTTCCTGGTAGAATTAAACTGGCTGACCCCTCTGTCCTAGAGTCAGCCCTAACTGTTTTTTATCTCTATCTGCCATGTCACTAATGGGGCAAAGAGTTCATGGTAATAGCATTAGGAGGGAGAGCCCTATGGACAGAGGAGCCTGGAGGACTATAGTCCACGGGGTTGCAAAGAGTCGGACATCATTTAGCAACTAAAAAGGAGAAGAATGTATGGCCTAGAATTTAAGAGAATGTCATGACGTTCATTCTCTATGAGAGGAGGGAGACAGTGTTCTTTCTGGGCCTGACACAGAGAGGGAAATTTCCATACAGAGTTTGGAATCAAATGCAGACCTGTCCTGAGACCTGGGCAAACAGGATCCCTGGACCAGCGCTGCCCTTCGGGGGTGTCTGGTCTTTGAAGTTCCTACCTTGAACTTTTCTCATTTCTCCCTTGATACTGGAGAGTCAGAGTCGGCCGTGCCATCCAGATGGGACTCCTTGACCCTGTACCGGGACCCGTGGTGCTCATTCCTCCCTTTAGGGCATCTTCCCATTCTCTGCCGTTCTTTGGGGTTGATCAGATGCCCCAGGAGACCTGAGCCTCATGTTTGTGATGTTATCCTGGAACCAGGGACCTTTTGGGGGTGGGCTGCTTAGAGAGAGGATAGCTCTTGTTGCTTGACTGGTATTTCTTTCATGGGATCACAAGGAACTGGGCCACCAGCTGGGCTAATATACAAGTTTTGGTGACTCAAATCATTTATACAGACAGAGGTCCTGTAAAAAAATATTTGCCTGGTCCCCACAAACCTTAGGAGCAATCCTACTTAAGTGCTTGTGTAAATGTCAATCTAGTGCCCCAGTTTTCCTCCTAATTCTGCTGTCTCCTAAGTCCCATAAAAAGATCCAAATTCTATAAAGAGCAGAAACAAAGAGGTGGAGGGGAGTCCTGAGTGTTTAATGCCTCTATCTTCCTTGACTTGGACAACAAGACTTTTTGCCTTCCTAGCTGCTTGTAACCTTGCCTTCAGTTTCCACGTGGATGGTGGCCTGGGTGAATCCTACAGATGGGAGCGGGAGAGCGGGGGGAGGCAGCAATGGTATTGGCCGGCAGCTGGTAAGGGCTTTAAGGAAGATCGTGTCAGAACCCTGGCCGTGGATAGGGGAAGAGTGACTCAGAAAAGTTTTCTGTCAATAAAACGGAGTTCCTAGTACTTCCTGTGAGGTCCATAATGAATCCCATCACCATCCAAAACCTCTGTTGTGTCAGCCCTAAGAAAGGACACATGGGAAAAAAAGGATAAACACCCATCTGAAGGATGGTGCCACGGCTTCTGCTAATGATGTTGAGAGTAGCAACTCATATTCACAGGTCACATTATATCCAGTATCTGGTTTAATAGTCATAAAAAGTTTGAGATGGGTACTGTTATTATTTGCATCTCACAAACAAGGAACCAGAGGCCAGAGCGGTAAAATAATTTGCCAGAGATCATAGGGCTAGTTCGTAGTGAAGGCAGGATTTGAACTCAGGTCTGTCTGACTGCTTGGGGCCTGTTTGTGACCTGAAGGCCTTGTGCTATTGTGGAGTGAGGAAGAGCTATCTTGTACAAGAAAATCTGGGGTGTCACTGGGCTCCTTTCACTGTTTTGAAAAAAGCCCTCATTTACTTTCAGTGACCAATTCCTCATTCAGAGTCAGCAGTTTTGGTGCACATTTCAGGGAACATTTCAGCTACTCTTAAAAGGTAACTGAAAAGTAGGTGTGAGGTATTGACATTCAAGGGAAAAAAAAGAGGGAGAGATGTATTATGGTTCTTTTCACCCAAGCACTTCAAAACCTTTCTAAAACACCTCGTGGGAAAGCCTGTTATCACATGTTGTACAGTAACAACTGACCAGACTCATTCAGGAAACCTGTGGCAGGGCAAGTCTGATTTGGAGAATGCAACCAGGCTGAGGCCCCTCTCACAGCCCAGACCTAAATCAATCCTCCATCAATGTCATTGGCGTTGAGCCACCAAGGTCCTAGGGGATTTGGAATTTATACTGTGTGCATATTTAAAAAAAAATTAGTTGGTTTATATATTTTTTAAGGAGTGGTTTTAGAAAACAGATTTACAGAGACTTCAAAGAATACTTAAAATGTGACTGGATAGCATAGGAGCATAGGAAGGAAGTGAAGCAAGAGTTGGGAACAAAAGGAGTCTGCAGTGAGGCCAAACAAGACCCTGCCTTCCTTCAGGGAGCTCTGTGCTCAGGCAGTCTCTACGTGTAGCGCCCCTGACCCCCCTCCTCCCACACAGATTTCTCAATTCCATACTCACAACCAGGCAGATTGGGTTCACATCTGGTTCGGAGCTAACTGGGTGCCTTCAGACAAACGATCTAACATTCCTGAGCCTCTATTTCCTTATCTTCAAAAGCGGGTAATAAATCTACTTCCTTAAATTGTTTTTAGAAATAAATAAGAGGACGAATGTAGAACTCAGTGCAGTGGACCGGATGTTCATGCTCCCCCACAATTCCGAGGTTGAATCCCCAAACCCAGAGGTGACTACATTAGGATTAGGTCTCCAGGGTGGAGGGTGGAACTCTTACTAATGGGATTAGTTCCCTTATGAAAGGGACCCCAGAGAGATCCCTCACCCCTTCCCAGCCTGCGGAACTGGGAGTAATAAATATTTGTTATTTAGAAGCCACCCAGTTTGGGATATTTCTGTTATAGCAGCTTGAATGAATTTAGACACTTAGCATAGCATGGGCACCTTGCAGGCTTAGTGAGGGTTATATATTTCCCTCTCTCCCTCCCTTCTGTTTCTCCTCCCATCTTTCTTTCCTCAAGTTTTGTTTTAAAAAGTGAGTTAATTAATTAGAATTCGTCAAATCTTAAACTGCTTTCTTAGAGTGTATAGGATTAAAAAACAAAACAAAAGAAAACTTTCTTTGTACAGGAATGGTATTAGAATTTCAAGGCACAGGGCTCAGTTCCCAAGGAAGAGAAAGCCCCAGGAGGACCACTACAGGGCAAAGCGCAGGGCCTCAGATACTAAGAGGTGGCAGGGGGGCGGGGGGGGGTATGCCTAATGGAGCGGTGTCAGTGTATGTGTGTGTATGTGAGTGTGTGTGCATTTGTGTAAATGGGCACTGGTGTGGCTGTATGTGTGTGAGTGTGCAGGTGTGGCTGTGCATACATGATGTTTATGCCTAAGTGTGTGAGTGTTTGCGTATGTGTGTGTGCATGTGAGCGTGTGTGTGTTTGTGTGTGTGTGTGTGTGTATGTACCATCAGAGAAAGAGGTCTGTCCATAGCGCAAAACTTGGTATTCACTCTGGAGGTTAAGAAACTAATTAAAGAGCGTCCTTAAACTTCTGGAGTTCATTGAAGACTGGAGGCTTTTCCCCTCTCAGAAATCCCTTTTGGGAAATGAGACTATAAAAGAAAGACTGTAAAGGCTTCCTTGAGAAAGGCCCTTTTTCTTCCTTGTGAAGGGGCTCCTGGGGAGTCGCGGCAGGAACTCCAGGATGCTCCTTACCCCTCCTTCCCTTGGTGCTTCCTCCTCTCTTTACTGCAGTCCCTTGATCTCGGTTCTCCAGCCTCTCTCTCCCCTGCCCCCATTCGGATTCCTTCCCAGCATATCCCTTCTTTGGTTTCTTTTTACTTTTAGCAGCCTTCTCCTTTCTCTCCTTCCCTCTCATTTTTCTTCTTTGTTTTTCATCCAGAATAAGGGATGCTTGGGAGAATGCTCCTTTATTTTTCTTTTACTCATATTCTTGCTCAACACCCCTGTGAGCTCTGAGAAACATCTGTTTCTTGGTCTCCTTTTTCCGGAAACCATTATTTACTTATTTATTTTTTATGGCTTAATGAAGTTCCTATTCTTCTGTGAATATTCCCACTGACAGAATTCAGAGCCTGCTGTTTAAAAGCACTGTTGTTTCCTTTTCTTCTATCACCAAACAATTGACAGATTCCTTCACATTAGCAAAAATGAAGTGAAGTGAAAGTTGTCTGACTCTTTATGACCCCATGGACTATAGCAAAGCTCCTCTGTCCATGGAATCTCCAGGCCGGAATACTGGAGTGGGTTGCTGTTCCCTTCTCCAGGGATCTTCCCAACCCAGGTATCGAACCCAAGTCTCTGCCATTGCAGGTGGATTCTTTCTGGTCTGAGCCAACGGGGAAGAAATAAACACCAGCACAGCAAAACCAACACCAAACCCACAGCCCCGCACAGCCCCGAGGTGCTAACCAGCAACTCAGGCCTTCCCCAGGAGGCATGCTGGCTCAGCTGCACACAGCTGCTAGAGGGTTACTCTGTTTCTTTTGATGAGTTCACACCCAGCTTTGCCATTAACTAGCAAAGTCACCTAACCTCTCTCAACAGGGAGTTTCCTCCTCTCTAAATCACTGAAAGAATCCTTACACTACTTACAGGGAAAGTTCTGAGGAAAAACTGAGACACCATATATAAGAAATGATACAAATGAACTTATTTACAAAACGGAAACAGACTCACAGACACAGAAAACAATTTTATGGTCACCAAAGGGCAAAGTGGGGGAGGTTAAATTGGGAGTTTGGGATTAACGGATACACACTACTGTATGTAAAATAAACATAGGTCCTACTGCATCACACAGGGAGCTACATTCATTATCTTGTAATACCTGTAATGGAAAAAAATCTGAAAAAAAGAATATATTTATATATCTTAATAATCACTTTGCTGTACATCTGAAACTAACACAACATTGTAAATCAACTATATTTCCAATAAAAAAAGAAAGACAAAAGAAAAAAAAATAAGTGTGGAGCTTTGTACTGGCACCTAGAAAATGTTTAATAAATAGCAGCTATGCAACAAATGGAATGAATTTGAACCACAACCGACATCCAGCCCTGGGCTGTGAT